AGTATAGTATTTCCTTCTATATGATGTTTATTGTGATTTATATTACCATTAAAGGATTTTTAATTTAAATATAAATTAAGGTGGTTTATTTAAGTGCTAATTTTACAAATGGTGCAAAATATTCGGTAATATTCTTCTTTTGCTATGTGATCAAATATATTATTTATAGTTCTTGGTAATAAACTTCTGAGTGTTAAATTTTTTAAGGTTGCAAATTTTGCTAATATTTTAGCAAATATAAATTAACCAGTAAATTTTTGCCAAATCAATGATAGAAAGAAAAAAACTGAAGTTCATATATTTCTCAAGCTTTTTAAAAATTTTTTTTAAAAAACCGGCTTTCAAATTTTATAAAGTTTTATCAATATCCAAAAGAGTTTTATCCATATCAAAACATACATTAAAAAAGGAGTTGTAATGATGTATTTCGTAAAATATTCTGAGGTAAACTTTGAAATTTGAAAGAGAATTCCAACACCGATTTATGATTCCATACAAATTGTATCTTAAATTTCTAAAAACAAATCAGTCAAATTTTGTAATTATAAAAAAATGTTTTTGCGTCTTCTGTTGCTTAGGTAAATATTTTTGCTGATTGCTGCAATAAAGTAACAATTTTTATGTATTACAAGATGAATAAAACAATGCCGGAATTGTATGCGACCCCGAAAATCGACCATCAAAACGGGAAATAAAAAGGCATAAATCTTTAGTAACCCTCATGCATAATCAATAAAAATCAGATTACTTAAGATATTAACCAGGTAGAATTAAATGAGTAATTACCGGACATTCCTTACATTAATATTTTCTTCTCGAAGATGTCACTTTAGTTTAAATTAAAAAACAAAAGAGTTTACACACTGTCATTACCGCAATAATTTTTTTAATTTTAATTGTGCTTCGGTGACTATTAATACTTTGCTGAATTGTTCATTAACTACGATTATATCCTCTATGAAGTTTTCAGAAATAATAATTTATGCCTAAAAGATGACACCAGACTTTAGCAAATAAAGCAATTGTTTTGAGCTCAAATAAAAATTAATTTATTGTTTCAAATAGTTCTTTCTCTATATTTCCAATGTAATGTTCCATTTTGTGGAATCATTTTGTTTTCAGTTTGTGATTCAATCTGTAATACACTGCTAATCTGCAAACAATAACCTAATAATAAAAACCAACAAATCTCTGAATAATAACATAACGAATACCTTACCTAACAATAAAAACCCACAAATCTTTAAATAATAACCTAAAGAATACCTTACCTAACGATGATAACCAGCAGAATTAATAACCTATGCCTAAAAGATAGAGCCAGACTTTAGCAAATGAAACAATTGTTTTGAGCTCAAATAAAAATTAATTTATTGTTTTAAATAGTCCTTTCTCTTTCTCTGTATTTCCATTGTAATGTTCCATTCTTCGGAATCGTTTTGTTCTCAGTTCGTGATTCAATCTGTAATACATTGCTAATCTGTAAATAATAATTTAACGATAAAAACCAACAAACCTCTAAATAATAACCTATAAAAACCTTACCTAACGATAATAACCAGCACATATAGCAATCCATGCCTAAAAGATAACGCAAGACTTTAGCAAATGAAACAATTGTTTTGAGCTCAAATAAAAATTAATTTATAGTTTTAAATAGTTTTTTTCTCTTTTTCCGTATTTCCAATGTAGTGTTCCATTTTGTGGAATCGTTTTGTTTTCAGTTTGTGATTCAATCTGTATACATTGTTAATCTGCAAATAATAACCTAATGATAAAAACTAACAAATCTCTGAATAATAACCTAACGAATACCTTACCTAACGATAAACCTACAATTCTCTAAATAATAACCTAAAGAATACCTTACCTAACAATGATTACCAGCAGAAATAGTAACCTATGCCTAAATGATAACGCAAATGAAACAATTGTTTTGAGTAAAAATAAAAATTGATTTATTGTTTTGAATAGATCGTTCGCCTTCTCTGTGTTTTCCAATGTAATGTTCCATTTTATGGAATCGTTTCGTTCTCAGTTTGTGATTCAATCTGTAATACATTGCTAATCTGCAAATAATAACTGAACGATAAACACCAACAACTCTATAAATAATAACATAAAGATTACCTTACCTAACGATAATAACCAGCAGAAATAGTAACTTGTGTCTGAAAAATAACGCCAGACTAAAGCAAATGAAACAATTGTTTTGAGCTCAAATAAAAATTGATTTATTGTTTTAAATAGATCGTTCGCTTTCTCTGTGTTTTCCAATGTAATGTACCATTGTTTGGAATAGTTTTGTTTTCTGTTTGTGATTCAATCTGTAGTACATTGCTAATCTGTTAATAATAACCATACGATAAAAGCCAACAAATCTCTAAAGAATAACCTAAATACCTTACCTAACGATAATAACCAGCAGAAATAGTAACCTATGCCTAAAAGATAACGCCAGACTTTGGCAAAGGAAACAATTGTTTTGAGCTCAAATAAAAATTAATTTATTGTTTTAAATAGATCGTTCGCTTTCTCTGTGTTTTCCAATGTAATGTTCCATTTTTTGGAATCGTTTTGTTCTCAGATTGTGATTCAATCTATAATACATTGCTAATCTGTAAATAATAATTTAACGATAAACACCAACAAATCTGTAAACAATAACCTAAAGAATATCTTTCCTAACGATAATAACCAGCAGAAATAATAATCTATGCCTAATAGATAACGCCAGACTTTAGCAAATGAAACAATTGTTTTGAGCTCAAATAAAAATTAATCTATTGTTTTGAATAGTTCTTTCTCTCTCTCTGTATTTCCAATTTAATGTTCCTATTTTTGAAAAACCTTCCTTTTTTTCAGTTTGCGATTCAATTTGTAGAACAGCGTTAATTTGTTTTGTTCCAATCAAAAAAAAGCATTTGTATATAAAAATGTAATTTGTAATTAGTAAGCTATTTAATTTAACGCTATTAAACTCTATCAGTACTCCCTACCCATGTCGACAAGACGAGTAGTTGTGTAGGTTTGAAGTCAATTGAGGTGGTGGTGCGCAAGAAAAAAATTTATATGACATTATTATTACTATAATTGACTGTGACATTATTGCTGTAACATTATATGTGTTAAGCTGTAACATTATTAACCAAATGTGCACCATTTCAATATATATTTCTTTATTAACACTGCGACGTATATGTTTCTCTATTTCTATTTTTCTGCTATTATAAAGGGTTCTGAAGATATTTATAAAAAATTAATAATACAACTGAAGTAAACACTTCTGTTGAGTAATTTTTAAACTATGCTTGTTTTTTTAACTTGAAATAGTTTTTAGCAAATTTAACTTTTGAATATCTGCGATTATTTCATTTGAGAGAAATCATATGCTCTTATATGGATTAAAATTGCGAGTCCTGTAAATAAGATCAAAATAAAACAACTGTCATAAAATACTAGTGTTCAACTAAATGGTTTATCCATTGATTTGATTTGACATATACGCACCATTTTATTATTTTCCCACTCGCACTCTCCCTATATTCTTGTTCAAATTTTCAATAGTCAATAAAATACTTTTTATTTGTCCACTCTAGATCAAATAAATTTTCTTTAACTTTTAATGGTTGACACTTGATGTTAATACAGTTTTTTTGTCCTCGAGAGAACTACACTCTTCATCAACGAAACCCCGATTTTTGCTCCGTCTTTCGAAGCGAACTAATTGCAATCAACAGGGGACTAGAGAAAATCTTGAGTGAAGGGCACCTTGGAAATACTTGGATACTATCTGACAGCCGTAGTTCAATTCAACACCTCAAAAATTGGGCCCTCATTGGAGATAAAACCAGTTTTTCGATCTTACAAAAAGTAAAGCTCATTTCAAGTCCTCGACGAAGGACANCTTTTGTTGAGTAATTTTTAAATTTTTTTAACATGAAATAGTTTTTAGCAAATTTAACTTTGTAAAATCTGTGATTATTTCATTTGAGAGAAATCAGATGCTCTTATATGGATTAAAATTGCGAGTCCTGTAAATAAGATCAAAATAAAACAACTGTCATAAAATACTAGTGTTCAACTAAATGGTTAATCCATTGATTTGATTTGACATATACGAACCATTTTATTATTTTCCCACTCGCACTCTCCCTATATTTTGTTCAAATTTTCAATAAAATACTTTTTATTTGTCCACTCTAGCTCAAATAAATTTTTTTTTAACTTTTAATGGTTGACACTTGATGTTAATACAATTTTTTTTGTAATATTAATTCATTAATAAAATATGGATGTCCGAAAAACGAAATGTAATTTTCTGATGGGTTCAGCGTTAGTCATTGTTTCAAATTTTACTGTAAGCGATTCAGTTTTTCACATATTTAAAAAATAACATCAGTGATAATTTCTAACTTATAGCTCTATTTGAACAAAAAAATGGTTTATTATGAATCTTTAAATATTTTATATTCGCTGAGTCAAATAAATGCAATAAAAAACATTACGCGTGGTCCACGTCACCAAATTTATAAATAGTTGTCTGATACGAGACTTTTCTTTTAAATTCCTACTATTAGTTCACACTCTCCCTATAAATCTTGTTCAAATTTTCAATCGTTCATGAAATAATTTTTATTCATCCACTCAAGTTCAAAAACATTTTTTAAAATTGTAGGGAATGACACTTGATGTTAATACTATTTTTTCAATTATTAATTCTTTAAATTTAATCAATTTCAACTTTATATGGGAGAAAAAATTATAATTATTTAATAAAAAGTAACTAAAGTAAAATATTTCTTCGTTGAAATTTAGTAGGAATTGACTTTGATTTTTTTTTTATATTACTTGTTCTTGAAATTATTATATTTCATACACAAAACCTTTTTTATGTCTTATTGAATGTAATTTTAGCACATTTCTCTGAAAGTCATACTATGTTATTAAAGTTCTATGCTTGGCCTAAATTGGGTAAATGAAATTTATAAACACTTGGAGAGTTGTGATAGATCCAGTTTTATCTCTTTAAGCTATACATTTGCAAAACAGAGTTTAAAAAGTTTCTACATCAACGTTTCTCAGTACCATTTTGATTCAATACTGTGTCATTTCCAATTTGGGTCGCATCATTTGGTGGAGTTGAACTAGTAGCTCTTTTTTTCAAAATATTATACATTTTGCTGAAAGGTTCTTCTACAACGATGTAAATGATGAAAGCGGCAAATATTGAGAACAGTAAATAGAGTATAAATTCTCCTATCTGAAAAAGAAGCACACCTTTAATCTAAAAAATTAGAATGGAAGAAATTATATACCTCAGATAACAACCTCTTCATTTTTAATAAATAATAATAGTAAATCTGTTTTAAAAAAACTGTTTCATTCGATTTTACTACTTTTAGATGTACACTACCCCATAATAAGTCATAATTTAGTCTTCGGCTACTACACCTCTGACGGGAGTTTGAATACTAGAAAGACAGATGGAGCAAATTGAAAGAATATAAAATACCAGGACAGGAAATTATTGATGGAATCAGCAAATCGAGGTTGTTGTAAGCAGTCTGAATGATGTATTGCCTTGTTTTGTTCGTTTGATTTTGGCAACTGTTCTTTTTAATTTATTTTGATTTTCTTTCTCTCAAGAAATGATCTGTTTTTTTATAATTTAATTTCAACACAAATTTGGTCCCACTCTTTTTTGTTACTCTTGTTAAAAAGCGATGAACTAGATCATTTATTTTTCTGGAATTTGAAAACTATAATAAATTACAAATCGATGGGTGATCTAGTTGCGCCTCCGTTATTGCTGTATTTTTTAAGTGATCTAGTTACGCCACCGATGCTTTTTCAGTTTTGATTAGTTGTTGAGTATGATGATTATTATTTGGTTGAAAAGTTGTGCTTAAGATTATTAAAAAGTTGATAAGTTTTTAATGTTAGTATGGGTAATTTTTTTTCAAACAGAGTTGTATTCTAATTATGTAGTAGTTGATACTTTAATAATTCAGTCGCGTTTTGAATCAATTCTAGTTCGTGTACTAACAGTTACAGTGCGCAGATTCGCCTTTGTTGACTAACTAGAGTAGGATTGAATAAAAAGATTTAATACAATAGTGAGCTGGGGAACAAGTAATGCGCAATTGTGGCTACATTAGTGAAGCAGAAATTGTTAACTTTTTTTTGCTGTTAACCGTTGTAGTGGGCCATTAAGGCAAGGAGTGCGATGGCTCTTGTTGTCCCTTTCCGCCAGCTATGGCCAAGAATTTGACTTCTGCCACATCCATACGTCACATCCGTTTATATGGTGCAACCATTGATACATCCATTTATTCACCCGCAGATCGTAATTTTGACCTACACCAGATGCGATCAATCTCCAATCCAGTACCCCTAGAGGTGTAATTTGATATGGGAACATGGGGGACTTTTTGCCCCTAAAGATTTAACGTGCATCATTCACCATTTACTACACGGGGATTGCTCGGCTGGCTAGATTCGAACTCCCGTTCTCACGAATGTGATCTAGGGTCCTGGAAACCACGTCATCCCAGTCATATCAGTAAAAATAAAATAGTGATTTCGAAAAAAGCTTTTTTGTCCCTTGCCAATAAAGTACGTTTAATTTATTCAAATTTTGTGACAACTATTTATTTAGTGTACTTAAAAATTTATTTTTCTTATTGACGTTAAAGTAAGAAACTTTAATTTTAATTTCAGTGCATGGCGCAAACGTGGTATATAGCTAATACTGTGCAGCATGCAATTATCTCCCTCCCTTAATTGTTACTTACAGGTATTTATTCACTTCTTTTAATTTATTTTTTAACATGAGTTTAGAAGTCTTAATGTCAATAAATTTAATTTTGAATGGATGAAGTGAACTGGATGTTCCGTAATCACCTCCCTTAGTATATGTATTTAAAATTCCTTTAAAAAAACAAGGCAAAAAATGCATTTATTATGGGTCACAAGCTGTGGTCGTGAGTCTTCTTTCAGCCACTACAGTAAAGAAACAAATATATTTTATTTTGTTTCATAGACTTCGGACACAATAATATTTTAAAATTATAATAATTCACAATAATATTTTAAAAATTGTGCTTAAGGGTGATAAAATTTTACCTTCTTTAAAAGTTATTAACCGATTTCGTTTGAATTTCCTGTTTTGTCATTTGAAATAACATACTTTAAAATTACGTAAAAATTTGTGTACAATTCAAATTTTTTTTAAACCGTATAAAAATAATAAAATATTATTCAAAATTACTTTTTTTACAATGAATTATATTTAGATAAACGAATTTAATAATTATGTACAAAATACTCTCAATTTGCCTTAAAGGTCTCGAAAAACGGCGGAATGTGAACATTTATTTCATTTATTACAAATGCACAGAAGACTGGTTATGACACCATAAGTTTTCTGGCTTTCCTATATCTCTGTACATTACAATTTAAAAACACATATACACGAAAACATAATTTAAAAACACAAATTAACAAAGTGCAGAACACGAGTCAGGATAAGTGGCATCAAATATTTGATGTTATCCACACAAAGGAGAACAAAAGGAGAATCACAGTCATCTTTGCCCGGCTGGATTCGAACTCCCGTCCTTACGAACGAGAGTTCAGCACCCTGCCAACCAGGCTGTTTCATTCACAACCTTTTTCTTGTTGTTAAAAATATAATGCCAACTTACTTGTGAAATTCTATCCATGTAGTATCTTTCAGTAATAATAGCATCCCTGAATACCAAATAAAGAGGACTTACTAGGTAAACACAATAACTTATGCGACTTAAAGGAACTAACGACTTTGAAGAAAATGCTTTCTCAACAATACCTAAAAAGAAAATAGTATTTAAAGAAACGGCATTCATTTAATTTGTGCAGTGCTCAAAAAAAGAAAGAAAACTAATAAAAAAGTAATGAGGCAGTGTGTAAAAGCAAAAATAATATGATATAAAATAGAAAGCACATTTAAGTATTTTTTAGGTGGCGAAACACAAAATTGAAGTGAAAAAAAAAATCTGAATAATTAAAAACGAGTTGCATCGCATAGCGAAATTTAACCATTTTCATTTCTTATGTCGTTTCTTTAATTTTTTTGCTTCTACATTTTATGGCCGTTTAATTATTACTGAAGATTTTTTGGAAATTTCGATATTCATCCAGAAGTAAGCAAACCACCATGCTTACTTAAAATAGTCTCAATTCCTCTATTTAATTTGCTTTTATTATGACTCTAAAGGTGGTAATTTAATTGAGAGGACAATATTCAAATAAAAGTTGTAACTTTGCGAAAAGCAAAATTTATAGTTAATTCAGTTTATAAAAATGTGAGTTGAATATTACTTAAGAAACTGCTGTGTTTTTCTTCTGTGATCAACTCGTAGAAGAAATTTTTTCCATCTTTTTCTGTTCCCAATTTTAACTTTTATTTCGAATATTCAATTTTTGGGCGCGTGGAAGCTTTTCAAATTTTTTTTTACATTTAAAAAAAAAATACTTAAAAATTAGTGGATTTTATTAATATTGATAAAAATGCTAATAAAATCCAATGAAAAACCACGAAAAAATTAAAAATTGCATCTCTCTCTGTAACTTTGAGAAAAATAAATTGAACGAAAAATAGTTTTTGATAATTAGTTATTTTATCTTAAAAAATAATAATAAAAATTGATTATTATAAACTAATTATTAAAAACTTAGTAATTATTATAATTATTTATTAGTATTTAATTTTAATATATTGTAATATTAATTTGCAAAATAATTATTTATTAGTATTTAATTTTAATACATTGTAATATTAATTTGCAAAAATAAGAGCTAAAATTTTTTTTTTCGTAATAAAAATCCTTTAATGCATTGTGCTAAATTTGTAAATGATCAAAACTAATGTCGGTTCTAAACAAAAATAATTTTTGAAGTATTATTTAATGGGCTAAGAGTGTTTAGGTAATGACAGTATATGCATTAACGATTTTGTGAAAATGTAGAAATGACCCGTCAGATTATACAGCAGTTTCTCCTTTCCATATAAATAGTTTACAAGTTTGTAGAATTTCCTTTAACACCAAACATACCAACACTTAATATATACCTATTTCTACCATAGCCGGTCTACCATAGCTAATTCATTGCTCAACGCGTTTTTTTTACATATACAGGGTTTTTCCATTGTACATTTTCCGCAAGCATATTTCTTCTAATTATCATATGACCATCATATATAAGACTAATTTTAATAATTATAATTCTTATAATTAGTATTTTTTCTTCTAAGAACTTGTGCTTCCAAACGGTTATTTGACCGGTTATGGTATGTTTAGTGTTAAATTGCAGCACCAAAGGAAAATAATAATAATGCTTACATAGGAACCGTGGTGTTTATCAACAAAATCTTTATAAAAACTGTACAAAGTACAGTATTCATACTTCCGAAATTATCACGATCTGGATATCCAGATATAAATGTGCTACCCAGTACTATCCATTATAAATAAAAGGGATACCTAGTACCAGTAAAAGTACTATCAAATGCCATCCTCTTAGTAACAGGTAAAAAATTCTATGATCTCAGGAATCGGGTTTTAAGTGGGGGTGGTAAAGTTAAGGAGAAACTTTCATATTGCTATTTAGACATATGAGGTATTGTTCCCAATACAACTATCAAATGCCATCCTCTTAGTAACAGTTAAAAAATTCAATGATCTCAGGAATCGGGTTTTAAGTGGGGGAGGTAAAGTTAAGGAGAAACTTACATATTGCTATTTAGACATATAAGGTATTGTTCCCAATATATATATATATATATATACATATTTTTTACGCTAAAATGATAAATACCGAATTCGAGCAGATTTAACTGGTAATTGCTCTTGTTTTATGAGGATTTTATGTATAAGATGTACCATTTTTGATTGATTCTTTTTTTATTCAACATAGCTAATGATACAGGTAAAAAAGTGTTTGTTGCCTATTTCTTTTGCGCTGAATTGGAAGGCTTTTTACTTATTTAGACTTTTGACAGTGCTATCAAAATAAAGGTAGTGTTTGTGTATTTTTTAAGCTAAAGTTAATGAAAATAAGTAGATAGGACAAATAGTTTAGAAGTTATAGCTTTTGATAATTAAATACAGTCAAACTCCGCTATAGTGAACTTTCAATGGACCGACATTTTGGTTCACTATAACTGGGAGTTCACTTTATCCATACAGCAAACCCTTTTAACCATAGGTTCTGAACTCCTCCCTTTTATTACGCATTATTTAAATAAATAACCCATGAAATAAAATACAAAAATGACTAAAAAACAATGTAGTAGTAACAAAAAATGAATTAAATTTTATTACTCTTCGTCTCTGCGTACAAAAAAATTTAGGGATGGCCTTTAGTTAGAGATGAGAAATTGAGATAAAAGAAGCGAACAGGAAAAAATGCTTACGGATACATACCACTCTTTGTAGAAATTTCAAAATAACCAGAAAATGAAGAAGAAAAAAATCAGCCTTAGACAGAAAAAAGATCATACTATCCAACTTCCTCTCTTGTTTTGGTTCACGATATCCACAAAAAATAACATTATATGTGTATAGCAAGGTACAGGAGTGAACGTTTTGTTCGCTATAAACCGAACGAGTTCCCTATAAACCGTGCTCATTATAGCGGGGTTTGGCTGTATTTATTTCTTCATTTATATTATAATAAAGTGCTTTTTCCTCTTCCCTTCCATTTAATTATGATGGGAAATGCCGTACAATAATTTACCACACATTGCGAGGAGGGTTTCAAAACAATTTGTTGCAGGGTAGAATTTTATTTTTGGATGGTAAGGTTTTGAGACAATTTTTGAATTTTCTTTACCCTCCAATACATGGGTTGAATAAGTATAATTAAGTTTCTTTTATCCTTTTCACCGGGCCTTTAAAAATGCGAGAGGACATGGTTCAAAATACGACTTTTTTAAAACTTGATTTTTTCATGAACTACTCAAGTTTTGTATTTTGTCATTCAAAAATACGGTCATTAAATTGATTTAAAAAATTGTATAACTTATAGCTTAAAAATGTTAGACTATTATTAAATAAAATAATAAATATTTACTAAAAGTGATATTTGGCACGGTATTTAGATAAATGAATTTTATAATTGTGCTCAAAAAGTTTTGCATTCGCTTAAAAAAATTTCGAGTTATGAGGAAACAGGCTAAAAGTAGAATTAACATTATGGAGTCCAAACTTTGAGTCGCTCGCCTGACCAAAAGTCTAAGGACCATATTTCCTAGAATGCGACTATGCTTCATATTTTGAGGGTCAGAAATCTTAATCCGTTGAAAAGAAAGTATGTTTATTCAGAGAAAATACGTTTCTGTATATAATATTCTGTATATATATATATATATATATAAGTATATAAAAAATATTTTTCAAAGTTTTTTTAAAAAGTATTGTCATTTAGGTAAAATGGTCACTAAAGGTCCATAATGATGTTCTAGCTGACGTCACACTAGCGATAGGATCCAATTGCATTTTCCATTAAAATTTCAAGACAAGGTGGATTTCAGCTGAACATAAAAGACCTTGCAAGCCTAGATTTAAAGTTATTTTCAACTTGAGAGTAACTTTATTAAAGGGTTTTTTCAAGTCAACCTCGATTTGAGGTTTTCATATAGAAGGTTGTTTTCCAAAAGGTTTTGGATTAGGATAATGTGTGTAGCATAAAGATCTCGTTTTAAGGTTAGAATATTTACTCGTAAACTACATCACAAATCTTTTTAGGTTTACATTAAAAGGTTTTTGCTGAGTTAAAATAAACCTTATTTTGATATCTGGGTTTATATATTTTGAGAGTAAGAAATCTTAATCCGTTGAAGAAAAGGTATGCTAATTCAGAAAAAGTAAGTTTGTGTTAAATTTAGTAACTTTAAGTATCATCTTCACTAATTAATTAGCATATTTGAGGTGACCCCCATCAAACCAGTTGAAGTCCTAGAACGTGATCAAACATTATTCAATTGTTAGATCAAATTCCGATAAGATCAAATTAGAATATCCGAATTAGATCAAGTTAGAATATCCGTTCAAATTATTAGATCCGGTTATTAGGTTATCCGAACTTTAGATCAAAAGTTATTCAGGTTATTTTTTTGCGAACTGTATATTTTAAAACCTTTGTCAAAAATGTGGCAAAGTTAGTCATAGTAAGTCTTAGATTGAATGTATAAATTAGATTTTTAGTCTATGATTCCTTTTAATTATTTTCCATGATAAAATTCGTCATTTAACCCTCTGATTCCGATCGAGTCCTAGAATTTGTGTCCCTTCATTACGGGAGTTTTCTGAAAGCAGTTTCTATGATTGAACTCGTCCAAAGCGATCTTCCTGTGAGGGGTTGAGGAGGGGTCATCGTTTTCTCGCAGTTGAATATTCAAAATCACTCATGCGGCAAAGGAGGGGAATTGTTGACAAATTAGAACATTTACATGAAATATAAGTTTTCCGAAAATAAAAGTTTAGCACCTTATTGGCGATTTTCAAGTAGAGGAGTAATAAATTATACTTTAATTTTTTTCTTTCTTTTATTTATTTCGTTCTTTCTTCCTTTTTTTCTATTCTTTCGACATTTTAAATAAGAGAGGAAGACTCTTTTGATAAGTGCCGAATATTCAAATTATCTCATCCGTTTAATTTTTGTATAAGTACAGCGATTTATTAATTTTATTTAATGCAACATGGTTTATGAAATCTAATATTATGANTAAGAAAAAGCTTCTTAGTTGTGCTTTTCAAAATAGTTTTCAATGTAAGTAAAATGATAGTATTGGCGTTTTTCTTGAAGGCCAAATTTCAAAGCAAAAAGCAACCCATTCAGAAGAAACTTAGGGGAAGGATAATAGTTTGAGTAATTGAGGTAAACTGCCAACCCTTCTCTTTGTTCGTCCTCCCCTTAACTGACCCCCATTTCTTTCCCCACCCAAGAATCTCTTTTTCTACTCTCCCTACCCCAAAAAAACCAGACCGTCACGAAACGACACTTGCCGTAGTTTACTTGTAAATGTCTTTTCATGACGCTTCGGATGCAAGGGGTTAAAAGTTATCGTGATTTTTTTAATGTTAAACAGTATGAGATGTGCTATTTTCCAAATTGTAACATTTTCCCATTACAGTAGTGGATAGCCAACTCATGATATTAAAAAGAGACGATTACTTGCCATTTTATTTTCAAATTTTTTTCTTCATATTTTGTTCTCAATATCTCATTTTTGTGTGCTCAAAATTTGCTAAATGACAAAAATATGAGAGACAAAAATTTGGATAAATCATGTCTTGTATCTCTATTTAAATCTTTCATTTCAATTTGAAAAAGAAGAAAAAAGAACTAAGGTCATATATCTTCGACTTACCTTGTAGGTATTTAGTTGTAGTAAAACGACAGTTACAACTAAAGTTGTTTGCAGTTAATTAAATGAAAAGCTTTGGAAAGTGATTCTGTTCCCTCTAAAGTTTTAAACTTAAAAGATTAATATAATTAATATGCTAATATAATTAATATAGGGAAATATACTGACAAAATCGGACACAAAACGTACTTTCTTTAATTAAACATACTTTTTTTCCTCCATAGTTTCTGATTTTTGACCGCCTATAAGTCCCGCAGTGACACGGTTCCCAGTGGAACACCGAAGTCAAGCCTCAGTGGCCTGCGATCAGTAAGCGGGTGGGTGACGACTTTGATCAGACTGCGTAGGGGCCGAGGGTGCACGGTATCGGTCCTCGTTAAACTATTCTACCGTGAAGTGCTCAACCTTGAAACGTAGATCGTAGGGCTACCAAAGCAGGGGAGCCATCTCCTCTGCTGAGGATCAAAATTGTGATGGCATGTCTTCGAATCATCTTCAGGGATGTTTCCCAGACCGTCGCCAATAGCCCATTGTGCAGCTCTAGTGTGACGTAAATAAAATACCTACCTAACCCCTATAATATTAATTTAATTTTTTGCGTGTTTCGCCATGTCACGAGATATTTTTAAACGAATGGAAAAAATTTTGCACACCCTTATAAAATTCGTATGTCCAAAATTAATTCCATAAAATGTTTTAGCAAATATTTATTATTTTTTATTTTATTTAATGATGGCTGAAAGAATTTTCAAATGTGAAGTATATAATTTTCACATCGTTTAAAAAAATTATTTTACACTGCAAAAATACCAAACTCGAGCGAAATCGGTTGCCATAGTACCACAGAAATTGAATTATAAAAATGCTATATTCATTAAATCTGATTTTTCATAACCTATTCAATCAATTCCGCTCAAATTTTGCATTTCGCTATTTAAAATTACATCCTTGGAAATTCTGTAGAAATGTATACCTGCTCAATTAATTTTTTTTTCCACCTATTATTAAATAAAATATTAAAAATATTAAATATATACTAAAAATAATAAGTAGCATGGGTTTATCTTTGAATAAATAAATTTTATAGTTGTGCACAAATTTTTTTAAATTCGCTTAAAAAGTTCTCGAGATATAAGCAAAATACGAAAAAAAAAATTATATTAAGGGGACAAAACTTTTCCTCAAAAAACTATAAGCCGATTTAAAACAAATTTTGAATCTTATCGCATTAAATTACTTTAATAGTGAAAAATGAAATTGAAAATAAAAAAAAAGGTTTGTTTATTCTGAGAGAGCAAATATTTGCTGTCAAATACTTAATTTTAAAAATCACTCACTGGTCAAATGTTTGAATGATAATGAATAGCAATTTCATTTCAATGGAATCATTCTAAAAATATTTAGCAAGTCATCTANTAAAAAAAAAGGTTTGTTTATTCTGAGAGAGCAAATTTTTGCTGTCAAATACTTAATTTTAAAAATCACTCACTGGTCAAATGTTTGAATGATAATGAATAGCAATTTCATTTCAATGGAATCATTCTAAAAATATTTAGCAAGACATCTATTTTTAAAATAGAAAAAATAGAAAATAGATTCAGAAAAAAATTAAATTTCAACACCTTCCACTTAATTAAAGAAATACTTTCTTTGATTTTGAAACAAAAAATAAATATTTCAGCACCTCCTTGACGAGTCGCACAAATATACAGTATCCAACTAGTAGCCAATGCCATTCCAGTGATTCTTAAACTGTCGTAAAATGCCATTATCTTGAAGTTTTTCGTTGGCATAAAGTTTAAAGCTGTTGCAAAGGCGTAACAAAGTATAGACACAATCCATCCAACAAGAAGCCAAATCTATAAACAGAAATGAAATCATTTTTTAAAATACAATAATTATACTGTTTAATTCATGTAAAATGTTAAGCAATAGCGTGAAAAGGTTTTAAGACAAATTTTACCTCCAAGATTAATTTTACATGATAGTTTTCAAACATTATTGTGAATACAAATAGAATGAATCCAGTAAGGATAAGTTTTGACCTTTAAATCTGTGCAATTATTTGCGCCACCACCGGTCGAGAAATTTTACATTCAGTATTATATAGTTGATATCTGCAACAACTAATACTACGTGCTGTAACTGATACTAATGCTGACCATTTCAGGTTTTCAGGTAATTGAAATTATTTACGCCACCACCTAGTGAAGAAATTTTACATTCTGTATTATATAGTTGATGCCTGCAACAGCTAATACTACGTGCTGTAACTGATACTAATGCTGACTATTAAAGGTTTTCAGGTAATTAAAATTATTTGCGCCACCACCCAGTGAAGAAATTTTACAGTCAGTATTATATAGTTGATAACTGCAACAACTGATACTACGTGCTGAACTAATGCAGACCATTTCAGGTTTTCAGAAAAATTTATTTATTTGCGCCACTACCTTATGAAGGGATTTTGAATTCAGTATTATATGTATATGACGCCTGTGACAACTGATACTAATGCAGAATTTTAGGCTAAAGAGATTTGCTGATTAATCTTTTTCAATCAATTTGATCTGGGAATTTATATTAATTACTACTAAAATTTAGCTCTATTTTCGATAAAATATTATTTTTTTTGTGGACAAACTATAACTATTTGCCTAACTGTAGATATATTCTTAAAAATTACATGCTTCAGACATGTTTTTTCTTATACCATTTAAAATGCGAATTCGATGACGTCACTACCATACATAATGATATTATTAACGAGGATTTGACTTGTAATAACCTAACATAGGAAATTAAGGGTAAATAAATCATTAGATAAAATTAATTTTCGACTTATTATAACCCCTAGCTGGAAAATCGCCTTATTATGCATTGGTGTGCAAAACTTAGGCAACAAGTGCGTTTTTTGTCATAACTCTACAGGAAATCATCCGATTGACATGAAAGTTGAATATGATGCACATTATTTTGTACTTAAACGATGGTAAAAGAATAATGGCGCAGAAATGAATATAAAGCTTAAAGTAGGGTATGGAACAAAAAGGGCTTTATTTGACATATAGTGGCGTTACACATGATTGCCTGAAGAAGCGTAAGTACAACTGGCAGATGTTCCCCAGCATGGGATATGCCCTCCCCTTACTGTAATTGTTGCTTGGCATCGTCTCTCCATGCTAAGCACCAGATTATCCAGGAGTTCTTGGGGTAAACGTCTCCATTCCTCCTTTAACGCATCTTTCAGCTGATGGGTGTTACCAGGAGGATACTGTCGTGTCGCAAGACGTCTCCCTAATGCATCCCACACATGCTCTATGGGATTTAGATCTGGAGAGTAAGCTGGCCAATCCATTCGTGTGATATCTTCACTTTCCAGTAGCTCTTGAACATTAGCAGTACGGTGTGGCCGGGCATTGTCATCCATAAAAATGAAGTCTGGTCCAATGGCCCCTCGGAACAGACGCACATGGGGTAGGATTACCTCATTGCAGTAGCGGTCTCCAGTTACAGAACCTCGGTCGAAGATCTGAAGCTCAGTCCGCCCGTTCAACATAATGCCACCCCAGACGATAACTCCAGGACCACCGTAACGATCTCTTTCCGCGATGTTATTGGGATGAAATCGAGCTCCAACCTCTCTCCAGATCAACTGACGTTGAGAATCGCTTGTAGCACTAAAACGACTCTCATCTGTGAAGAGGACGCGACTCCATTGATGAGGTGTCCAGGTTTCGTGTTCTCTGCACCACTCTAAACGGTGCCGCCGATGGCTAACTTTTAAAGGTATGCAGCGTTCAGGACGTCTAGCAAATAAGCCACCTTTGTGGAGGCGTCTGGCCACTGTAAATCTTGATACTTGTCGTCCTGTGGCTGTGCACAGTTGCTGAGATATGGCGCTCGCTGACTGAAAACGGTTTCTTTTCGCCTGGAGGACAATGTAACGGTCATCTCTTGGTGTTGTTTTCCTTGGACGGCCACCACCAACCTTCCGAACAGCTGTACCAGTAGTTTTAAAGGCATTCCAAGCACGAGAAGCAACACTTTTGTTGATCCCGAACTCTTCGGCGACACTGGTCACACTACGCCCCTCCTCAAGCTTCCCAATCATTCTTCCTCGAGTAAAGTCGTCTAAATGATTTCTTGAAGACATGTTTCACAAAACAAATCACTTGCACTTGCAGCGGATGTCTTTAACTACGGTGCTCTTCATCCTTTTATCACAGCTTTGACCTGCGCGCGCCGACCCACAAGTTTTATGTACACTTACATCACCTACCACGTTTTATTTCTAAAATTTGCATACAAATAATCTTTCTACTGAATTACGTGCATATTATACTGCAATTTCATCACTATCTAATACTTTGTTGGGGAGCTGTGTCCGCACTTGTTACTTAAGTTTTGCACATCAGTGTAAAATATATATCTAATCTTGCAGAAAACTCATTCTTTGGGATGTAGCACGCGAGCGAACCAGTTGTTTGAGGTAGTTTTAAAATAGACAATTAGGTCCACTTTGTCTTACACGTATTTACACACATTACATCCACCACGTTTTTACTCGAGTTTTGTGCTTAAAAGTTCGGAATAGTGGATTTGTTTACATGGCATGCATGCATTCAGACTCATAGATAACTTTATATCGTATAACAGTTCAAACTGAAATATCGCTTGAGTTTTTCGATATAAATGTTAAGTTCTATATCTGGTAAAATCAAACCTGCTTCACTGATATCTAATATTTTATTTATTCATATTTTTGATTTTTGCTTACATCGTCGAGGAAGAG